GTGCTCCGATACGGTAGCATTTTTCTGAGCTTATCTTTACCAAACTTCGGTAGACTATGACGCAAGTGTTTGTCATTGAAAGAGCCATCGTCACTGCTAGCACTATCAACCCTCACAAGAGGATGGAGCGCCTTGTTATAACGGATCCTTTTGCTCGAGCGTTTACGACGTCCATCATACAAGAGAGTGTGTGAGAGTGACTCCTCATCAGAACTATAGCCTTGACTGTGAGTAGGGGAGAGACGAGAGTAAGATAAGTGAGGGGAGGCAAGAGGGGAGGGGTGGGTCGGATGGGAACGTGGGACAGTGGACAGGTCCATTATATCATCATCATCTTCTTCATCACTGAAGTCACTCCGACTAACGCTCTTTGCTAGGTTAGGGGAGCTACGGGCGGAGAGGAGGCGGCGAGACCGTGGGCTTGGTAGCGGGGACTGTGACCTCATGCCATCAACAATGACCTCGTCTGATTCACCTTCCTCCTCACAGGCTGATAAGTGTCTCATTCTTGGAGGAGGTGGTGGTAGGTCTAGCGTCGATTGACTGTCGGTCTCTGATAGTCCGGTAGAGTCCTCTGCAACACTTTGAATGGGGAATAAGGGTTTCCTTGTGTTAGTGTTTGAGACTTGCTCTCCTCCTACACCAAGTCTGGGGAGACAAGGAAAGTTTAAAAGTAGCAACAAAGAAAAAGACAGAGATACAGAAACTTAATATCATACACGTACAGGTACATGTACATGTAATTACAAAGTACAGGTAGTCAGGTACATGCAGATGTACATGCACATTATTGGTTTAAATGCTCAAATAAAATTGTACAAGCGTAACATTATTTATAAAACTAAGAATTCATGTTTACAAACAAAAAGAAGAGACCACATGTACTACATGTACCCTTTACCTGGGGCTGGTGTAGTTAGGGTTCTGGTATGGACTCTTTGTTAAGTGGGTGGGGGAGGAAGATGAACGAGCTTTACTGGTCACTGGTTCTTCTGTTGTTGTCCGTCGTCTTGGGAGGAGGACGCCAGTCTCAGCATGACCGTGAGATTTATAACTTCCTCCAGCTGGGTTTGATTTTAAACTATTAAAATAAATAAATAATTATAATAACTATGCATACATGTACTGTATGTACAATTACATGTACATGTACTGTATACATGTAAGTAGAGGGACTTTGGCCAAATTTCACCAAAAATGACTAGGAGAGAATTCTCCATTTTTATTACATATCCTGATGCATATACAGTACATGTACTTATGTTGTATAGAAATTTTGAGCTGATTCCGATCAAAATTGGATTTTTTTACAAATTTGAAAAGTTGCTCCAAAAGCCTTATGGGAAAGCCCGTTGTACAGATGCAAGCTTAACTTATCATTATCATCATTACTATTACATGTAGAGTAATGTTGTACATTGTATCTTACAAGCACAAGTACAATGTACTGTACATGTACACGTATATCTTACATGTTATTAAGTGGAGGTTGTGCAGGGACTGATATTTTCCGTGAAGTATTAGCAGTCTCTCCTCCTCCTCCCCCTCCTAGCACACTAGCACTGATCTGACAGGGAGCCACAACATGCTGTGGTGACTGTACATGAAGTTTCCGATGTCTCTCAGCTTCTGCTAGTAAGTAAAATGTTGCCGCAACACTTCCGTATGGTTTGTCTTGAACACTCCTAAGAAAATGATATAAGTATTGAGTTTGGTGACAATACCAAAAAAAGTACGTGTACATGTACATTGCACATTATGATTACATGCATATACATGTACATGTAGATACAGTATATGTACATCTATGTCAGAAAAATGGGTTTAATCCATGCTTTTCTTTCAAAAACAGGCTCCAAAACACAGTGTACATTTAATATGGTAATTCCTAAATGTGTTAAGAGGATATTAGGAATGTGCTAAAAAGAATGTACAATTAAAGAACAAAATGTTAACTAATCAGGACAGGCAATTAACAGGTCAGTACACCCCAGGATACTATCAGTATATTAAACAAACTCAAACTGCAGCATGAAATCATTCTTTCAATGTACATATACAACAATGAGGAGACACATGACATTGTGCATGCAGTAGTGTATGACTGCACTGCAGATTAAATTCTTATCATTTGTAAAATAACTTGATGCTAAATATACACAAATCTTGTGCCAAACAACAACCAGTGGACAATGTACACATGAAGGCTGTTGCTTCACTCCACAACACAGGATCAGATGTGAATGATTAATTACACCCCATACAGACTAGATGTACATGTACATGTATATGTCAAAATTCAGTGGGGACCCTGTTCTCAAATTGTGAAACTAATAGTAAGTACTGTTTGAGCTAATTCTGAAACCCAAAAAGTGAAATAAAGATAGAGTCATACTGACAGAGTTTTACCAGTGACAGCAAAGAGATTGAAAAAACAACTATTCTTTCAGACAAATCATAAAAATGTGAGCAATCTTTCTTAGAATTAAGTGTGTGTGCTATGTATATGTATGTAGGAGCTAGAAGGTTCTATTTACGCATGCAAGTGGCAAGTTCATGTCATCACATATTGTGCAATGATAGTGTTGAGTAAAGTGAGATGCTGCAAGTGCACACCCTCAGACAGTGTCAACAATCAATTGAATGGTTTCTCATTCAAAAAATCACAACAATGAGTAAAATAATGAGTACATTACATGTACATACAATGTACTGTTACTGACTGTACATGTACATTAACATGTACACAAGTAAAATGTATGTGCATGTGTTATTGCACAATTTAATGAAATCAAGTACATGTGTAGATAATGCTATTATCTTACTCTAGGATGCTCTCAGTAGATCCATACCCACCAGCCTCCATCCTCTCAAGAATGTAATGAACTTCCTCTGAAGGAATATCAGGAAGATTAATACTGGGCAGGGTAAGAGGATCAACAACAGAACCCTGAAGGAATGAGAGAAGAAATAATAATAACAACGAGAGAGAGAGAGAGAGAGAGAGAGAGAGAGAGAGAGAGAGAAGTAGAGAAAAA